CTCTCTCTCTCTCTCTCTCTCTCTCTCTCTCTCTCTCTCTCTCTCTCTCTCTCTCCTTCTGCCCTATGATTTGTGTGATCAAAATCTCCAAGGCACGATGTTACGCACAGACACAACCATGTGCGTGCTCAGAGAACTCAACCCTGTCTTCTGCCAAGCTACCTCATTTTCCGAGAACTCAACCCTGTCTTCTGCCAGAGAGAGAGAGAATTGGAGTAGGGATAGCAACTCACCTGTGCCGTAACCGTTGAAACCCTGTCTTCTGCCGAGCTCTAATGTGAAGGACAGAATCGCCAGAACGGGTAAGCCACACTGAAGGAGCTCCCGCCGAAACTGCTCGCCACAGTGAATGACCTTACGCACGGACAGAGTCATTCAGCATTTAGCAATACATCTCCCGCTCCCGCCCTTACGCGCCTTGCTTGCTTGCGTTCGTTTAACGGCTGTACTGCTATCGCTCGTTTAACAGCGGACCCTCCACTGCCAACTTGTTCAGCTAACGTTTTCTGCGCCCCCACGTCCACGTCGTCCGTCCGGACAGGCGGCGAAGTCGACAAGTATTTAGTAGTCGCGCGCTCCGATCAAGGTCGTCGTTCCACCGCCCGCCAAAATATTTCACCAGCCAAAATATTTCACCAGCCACGCCACACTTGCCACATTGCCGTGCCGGATACTCGGCACGGCGCCTTTTCCGACCGCGGAAATTTGCCAAATTGCCGGGGTACTGGGCACGGCGCCTTTTCCGACCGACCGACCCCTTTCCGCGGCTTCGCTCCGCTCTATTCCCGCCGGACGACGATCCAATGAACTGATAGACCGCGGAGTCGTGGGGGCGCAGCCCTGAAGTGAAGGGTAAGACGAGGAGGGGAGAGGGGTTTCCAGTCGTGTGCCTTCAGGGACGGTCGCGGGAAGAGGAAAGATTTCGCGCGTGAACGTTATTGTCTGATGTGCCCAGATAAGTCCCACAAAAGTGCGGGGGAAGGTCAGATTACGATCAGATATGTCTAGAAAAGTGCCCGTGTGTCACCAACGGGCCTGCCTCAGATGATACACACCCATAAATTGTTGAAATTGTTGAAATACCAGACAAGAGTTCAGTCCAGATGGAAGGGACGAACGAAATGTGGCAGGCAAGTTTGACGATGATTTTCTTCTCCCAAATTGACCTCTTTTTCTTTCTGTGATCCCACCTACCACTACTACTGAACGTACAGAAAGGGGAAGGCTTGCAGGGGGCACTGCGGTCAATGGTGGATTAGCACTCCACGTTAGCACTACCTGCCGGCACAGGGAAACGCAGTTCCTGCGCTACCTGCGGTGGTCGTCCGAGTGTCCTTCGAGGCTATCGCCAAGATAGTTCGAAGGGAATTGTCGTCACCACCATCGGAATCCCCAACGGAGTTATGGTTGACGTCAAGTGTCCAGCCCAAGAGTAGGCGAGTACTTTAACGGGTTGTGTTTCGTCGTGTGAATTAAATAGGAGAGTACTTTGGGCGATGAGTTAAAGTAAGCGGCCCAGGCGAGTGCTCTGAGCGGTGCCGAAGGCACCATTCTAGTGATATTCAGAGTTATCATTAACTTGTTTGGCATGGGAGTTGCCCCGGTGTAAGGTGAATTTCATTTAGGCCAAGCTGCGAAGGCGAGTCGTTCGACAACTTGAAGAGGTAGGGGATGAGGAAGATAGGATAGATCTCCTCTAGGGACTGCACTAATGGTTAATAGGTGGTGTCATTTTCAACAAAATTTTCACCAAAACTGCTATATTTTCCTGAATTTTTGCTTTTTTTTAATAACGTATTTGAACCAAAAAACACCGAGTCGAGATCAAAATTTTGCGATCTCCGAAAGTTGCTCCCCAAAGGGTTTTGTAGTGTTTTTTTTTTCTATTTATTTTTTATGTTTGTCTTTTATGTTGTTGTATTTTTTGTTTTTTATGTTTATTTTTTATGTTTGTTTTTTATGTTTGTTTTTTATGTTTGTTTTTTATGTTTGTTATTTATGTTTGTATCATGAGTCTGCATTGTTTGTTCGTGAATTTTTTGACGATATTGTTTGTGGTGATGCGGAGAAAAACCTCGAATTTTAAACCTTTCATTAACCATCTCCAAGGATTTAACAGTAACGGTAAGATGAAGCAAGTGGACTTACGGTAGAGGGGAGAAAAAAAAACGTAATAAGAGCATACGAAAATGAATGGACCCAGAGGCAGCACATCTTACAGAAACCGTTGTGAAGAGGGAGGGTGCATACATAAGAGTCAAATATTATGTTGTACTTTGCGATATTGAAGGAAGTTGCATATCGAATGGTGGCCAAAGCAGCTGACAACTTAGGTAAATAACACTAACCGAGGCAGGAAGGGATGGTTGAAGACATTCAGATGACGCCCGAAACCCCTTGGTGGAGGAATGAGGTCTCTCGAGAGCCGAGTCGTTAGCAACAGCAGCACAAAGATCCTAAGAAGTACTCATCTTAGGATGGTCGAACGCCTGCTAGCAACACTCATAAGGAATGTCTCTAAGGATAACGTCACAACACTTACATGCGACACCATCATGTTAAGTTTTTTTTTCAGGGATTTTGAGGTCTAATGTACATTTCAACACCTGGACAGGCGGCCTTGCATCAAAGCAATCATTATGCTTTGCAACACTCACAAACATTTATGGCCACGATACCTCAAAGAGTTGTTTAACAATAAATGTGAATTCTTAGCTAAGGAGTATCTAAAGACAGAAAAATTAAATAAGCGGATGAAGAAGTCACCCAAGAAATAGACCAGAGCAAGGAGGAAATTGACAGCTAGTACGGATTAAGAACGATGTACAAGGTGAAGCGATCTAAAGAAATGAAGTTAAATCAAATGGAGACATAGTGAGAAAAACAATAAAGCAATTAACCCGACAATAAAGGAAAAAAACAGCAAACAATAGAGGATCATTCAATCAACGAAAAAGTTATAGTATAAGTATGAGCGAGAAGGAAGACGACGTGGATGCAAACTCACCCGATGACATCAATGAAGGGGTAATAAAACTTGACAAAAGTCAATGAAAAATAAAGGAAAAATTATTTATGTTTTTCGTGTGCACTTTATACGGTTAATAAGTGTTTGTGATAACCTTAAAAGGATCGAATGATCAAATCACCATATCACAACTTTGATGGTCGAACTACATTCAGAACAGATAATAGTAGAAAATGTGACTTGGCTACACACATGCTACAATGACAATGACAATAGGAAGCAAGGCTTTAAGGCAGAGTGAATCCTGAAACATTGCCTCAGTTTCAAGTCTTATTTTATTAGTGGCCATGATTGGAGCTATAGTACTTACCATGCATAAGACTACTCAAGTAAAAACACAAGATGTTTTTCAACAAAATATGATAGAAATCACAAGGCCCCACAAACTTTGGTAATACATAGGCAAACAAGGGTACCGAGTAGACCATAAAAAACATCCAACAAACCAAATCATTCGAAAGAGATGGGAAAGAGACTTTATCGTGTCTGTAGAAAACCTTGCCAACTTCAAATGGGTACCATACCCTCACTTTATGCTTACAGCGCATAGAGCCCTGCAGTGACAGATACTGTATTGTTGTTTTCTCTCCCTGGACTAGATTGTATAAAGAATGAACTTAGAGCAAAAGAAAGGTCTCTCATTGATTTGCACATACTACGGAAGA